CTACTACTACTACTACTACTACTACTACTACTACTACTACTACTACTACTACTTACTACTTACTACTTACTACTTACTACTTACTACTTACTACTTACTACTTACTACTTACTACTTACTACTTACTACTTACTACTTACTACTTACTACTTACTACTTACTACTTACTACTTACTACTTACTACTTACTACTTACTACTTACTACTTACTACTTACTACTTACTACTTTATTAGAGTTTTATAAAGTTAGGCCTACCCAGTTCATTGCTAGCACCGTTTGATCTGTCGGATTTACAGCTTGACCCGAGAGCTTGTTGTCCTTTTGTACATGGCAGTGTTTCCTTAGTTCAGTCTTGCATGACTCATTCCGGCTTTGTCTCACTCATTCTACAGTCCATTCCCAATCATATCACCAATTATTCATTAATTTACACTTTCTCCTGTGGCAATTATCTGAAAATTTGTCTTACATTTTCACGTACCGTCCATCTATTCACGTGCTCTTTTCTGCACCTTTATGTGGTTGTACACAAAGAAGCGTTGGTACGCTTCATTCTTCATACTTACTAGTTCATATTTCCGGAATTAAAGATTTAGTCACTCATCATTTTGGAATAATAAGCCGTAGCAGCAGGATAAGCAAGGTGCTATCATTGTGCCGTCTGTGTCTCCTGCAGAAATTACTGGAAAAAGGTTTTTGATGCACTTACATTTGCAATTTGCATTCACTGTCCATTTATTCATTTGTGACCCATCAGATCATCTGGAGAATTATGTATTCACAATGATTCGTAGATCTGAAAAGTTTCGGCCAAAAAAACAATCCAGGTTCAGGGGATGATCTAGGGATTCTCAATAAGCCTTAGCTCTCTTAACAACAGTCACCATCGCATTTAGTCATTTCAGTTGAGCAGTTGTGATATTTTGTTATTCTATTTGGTATGGTTACTTTTTTTTTGTGTATTTGAAATTTGAAGGAGGAAAAGTTCTGGGTGAGTTGCGCTGTGGAAGTTTGTCAATAGCAACATGTAAC